CGGCGCTCGGCGCTCGTCTAAGATGAGGGACGGCGCTGGGCGCTCGTCTGAAAATGAGGGACGGCGTTGGGCGCTCGTCTAAGAATGAAGGACGACGCAAGGTGCTCGTCTAAAAATGAGGGACGGCGCTGGGCGCTCGTCTACAAATGGAGGACGGCGCTGGCACTCGTCTAAGATGAGGGACGGCACTGGGTGCTCGTCTAAGAATGAAGGACGGCGCTGGGCGCTCGTCTAAGATGAAGGACGGCACTGGGCGCTCGTCTGAAAATGAGGGACGGCGCTGGACGCTCGTCTACAAATGGAGGACGGCACTGGGCGCTCGTCTAAGATGAGGGACGGCGCTGGGCGCTCGTCTAAGAATGAAGGACGGCGCTGGGCGCTCGTCTACAAATGGAGGACGGCGTTGGGCGCTCGTCTAAGATGATGGACGGCGATGGGCGCTCGTCTAAGATGAGGGACGACGCTGGGCGCTCGTCTACAAATGGAGGACGGCGATGGGCGCTCGTCTAAGATGAGGGACGGCGTTGGGCGCTCGTCTAAGAATGAAGGACGGCGCTGGGCGCTCATCTACAAATGGAGGACGGCGCTGGGCGCTCGTCTAAGATGATGGACGGCGCTGGGCGCTCGTCTGAAAATGAGGGACGGCGCTGGGCGCTCGTCTGAGATGATGGACGGCGCTGGGCGCTCGTCTGAGATGATGGACGGCGCTGGGCGCTCGTCTGAGATGATGGACGGCGTTGGGCGCTCGTCTGAGATGATGGACGGCGCTGGGCGCTCGTCTAAGATGATGGACGGCGATGGGCGCTCGTCTGAAAATGAGGGACGGCGCTGGGCGCTCGTCTAAGATGAGGGACGGCGCTGGGCGCTCGTCTGAAAATGAGGGACGGCGCAGGGCGCTCGTCTAAAAATGAGGGACGGCGCTGGGCGCTCGTCTACAAATGGAGGACGGCGCTGGCACTCGTCTAAGATGAGGGACGGCGCTGGGCGCTCGTCTAAGAATGAAGGACGGCGCAGGGCGCTCGTCTAAGATGAGGGACGGCGCTGGGCGCTCGTCTAAGATGAAGGACGGCGCTGGGCGCTCGTCTAAGATGAAGGACGACGTTGGACGCTCGTCTACAAATGGAGGACGGCGCTGGGCGCTCGTCTAAGATGAGGGACGGCGCTGGGCGCTCGTCTAAGAATGAAGGACGGCGCTGGGCGCTCGTCTACAAATGGAGGACGGCGCTGGGCGCTCGTCTAGTATTTGCCTGATATGTACTTAGTATTGTTGTGGGGATTTCATTTTATCATTGCTCGAGGCCGGCAAGTGCGCTCGGTCCTCGGCTTCCCTCTTTTATTTTTTCTTTTTCCTTTTCTCTTTTTTTTTATTTCCATTTCCGTTCCCTATTTCGGGGAGTATCCTTCTTTCAGGCTTCGGCCGAAGGGTGTGCTCGTCCTTCGGCCGGTTCGGACTTCGTTTATAACGTCCGTGATCTCAGGGGGGTCCCGTCGCCTATTTATGACGCGGGCTAGACTTTTGGTTGGTTTCCAACGGCTGCCGTTGCCCATCCCTGAGTTTTGGGATTTTGTCACCTCGGCCATGATTTCAGGCCTGTCGTCCTGCGATCTGGCGCGTGGACGGCGCGGTGAGCTTCCCATTTCAAGACGTGGGCCGTTTGCGGGCCCCTCGTCCTGGGGACATCGTCGGCCATACCTGAGCGTTTCACTCTAGGCTTATGGGGCCAGGACGATGTGCTCTCTCAGCTAGGCCTGAGCCCTTCGCTGATACAAAATACAAAGTGGAGCAGACCTGAGCCTTTCGCTCGAAGGCTGCTGATACGACACGTGGTATCTTCTATTTACATTTCCAAAAAATAAGCGGAATACAATAGGTGCGTTGTTCATGGCAACGGCTTTTGGGCGACGCGATTAGCGTCTCGGAGAACGAGGTGTACCGTTTACCGCTCTCGGGCATAATGCCATGTGCGGCCGGTAGCGACTCTCATTTTTAGATGTCCGAGTCACCAAATAAAGGTGACTAGGGTAGGTCGACGGATCTAAATATAATCCGAATCATCAAATAAAGATGTTCGGTAGACTAGAGCTCGGGTTCACCACTTTGAGTTTTTTTGACCCGGTCTAATGGCATTGATAAAAATAATAATGCCAATAATAATGCATCATTAGCGACCTCGGGAAATTTTAATCCCTCATAATGGTCTTCACCACCTCGGGGGTTTTTAACCCGCCATAATGGTGGTGGAAATAATATAATTAATAATAGTAATAATTATACTACTATCACTTAATAAATATTTTAAGTGCATAAATAGGAGGAAATTTGGGGTACTTAGCTTCTTATAGGGGCGGTTTGAGATAATGGGCCTGAAATCATGGGCCGTGTAGAAATCATTGGCCCACAAATATTTTTGACCAAGTTGACCTAGCCCATGATGGTCATGCCAAAGATCTGCCCCTTTCACGTTTGGCAAGTGAAAAGCCACGATCCAGTGAGAAGCCACATCTGATGCCAAGATCCCAAGTAGAAACATACGGGCATTGTTGTTAACGAATGGAAGAAGAGCGCGCAATCCAGCCCCCGTCGCTGCTTGCCGGTTTAGAGAGTCGAAGGCACTGGATACTGCTGTTGCTGCTTGGGTCGCGAGAAAAGCTCTGAAGCGGCCATTAATGGCGGAAGCTCTCAATCTAGCGGCGTTGCAATCGAAGTGGAGAACCGACCAACGGTGTGCTGGCAAGTTGGTGGAGCCTGTTATAGCAGCCGCCTGGTGATGCTACGATCGGCGACCGCGAACCGCCGTCCAACGAAGTCGGCGGCTGACCGACAACGGGATCGAGAGACTGGCTGCGAGATCTGTAAACGGGCAGTGAGAGCCGGAGCATCGACAGACCAGCTTCAGCCGGCTAAGCACGACGGTGGCCTGGGTGACGATGATGACCCGGAACAGTAGTAGCTTGTACAGCGACGGTGGTTTGGATCTGGAATTTTCAGATTGCTTCATCTCTTGATTTTTCTTTTGATTTTTTCAGAACCAGTTGGACTGATTTCTTTGTAATTGTGATGAATTTTTGGATATTTTGGGAGGAATCTCACTTGATTTTGCTCTAATCTCTCAATGAAAGCACCATTGATGGATTATTAGGTATCCAAGTATGTATAAAATGTAGAGATTTGAGCTCAAGTATTGTGGAGAAGATGAATAATAGAATGATATTGAGACCTAGGGTTTACAAGCTCCAAAAGGAGTATAAATAGAGGAATAACGGGCCGGGCCGCTAATATGGGCCCGGTAGCCCAACTACATAAAAGATTAATCTAGTACATACAAATGATATATTAAAAGTACAATAATACAAATGATATCCGTAAGATGTGTGTGGGCCGCTGTCCGGGCCCAATAGTCGTGAGACCCGGGGGTCCGAGTCTATATACTCTATCACTAAGAATTTGAATTATAAAGAATCGGTGATTATGAGCCGGGCTCAAGACCGATGTAGATAACGGTGATTATGAGCTGGGCTCTAGACCGTAGTAGATGACGGTGATTATGAGCTGGGCTCTAGACCGTAGTAGATGACGGTGATTATGAGCTGGGCTCTAGACCGTAGTAGATGACGGTGATTATGAGCGGGGCTCTAGACCGTAGTAGATAACGGTGATTATGAGTTGAGCTCTAGACCGTAATAAATAATGATGAATTGATACTAAATGAACGGATTAACCATAATGTAATGATGCTCTAGATTGAGGGCCTTAGAGATTTAAACTTCGATTATATTTAGTATAGTTGTCATTGTATTTGTCAAATGCTTCCAAGTACTGACCTCCCCTTCACGGGGAGGCCACCTCACAGTTTCAGGTAGAACTTGAAGGTTGCTACTACCAGCCGCTGTTCGGGAAGTTTATGAGAAGAAGACTTGGTTCGTGCTTCTTCCGTTCTCATTTTGAAAACAATATGAATAATGCTCATGGATAATATTTTCTGAATAATTACTTTGGGGGCTTGCATGCCTAATTATGCCAAGTGTGGCTTGAACACTTGTATCAATTGTTTCCGCTGCTTTAATAAATGTTTTACATTATGTTTGTTTATGGATGTACTATGTGTGAATGATATTCAAGACGCCTTGTATAGTATGGATGAGTCGGACTGCGGTTGACTATTCGTACTGTACGGCGGGTTGTTGACGTGTCCGGATAGGTCCGGGGCGTGACAGGAGGGGTGGCCAATCAAGTCTTGGCTCTGCCCAAATTTTAAAACTGCTTATATTTTTAATGTAAAAATTTATGTGTGAAAGTTTATCTGATTTTTTTTTGTACCGGCCCAGTCCAACTCTTACTCCTGGCTACGCCCTTGTTTATAGCACAGCTTATTTTACGCGACACTTATTAACACAAGTCTTAATAAGCACCGCTTAATAACCGGTGATGTAAACGGGTCCTAAGTGTTTGAGCAATCAATTTAGAAAATTTATATAATCCTTCCATCCCAAATTGATTTGCAAAGTCAACTTTTTTTGTCGATCAATGTAAAAGTTAAATCCACCATACTGATAATTAATTCAACTTTTAATAATTAAAATTTACATATTCGAAAACTATATTAAAAACTATTTAGAGTTGCAAATTCTAAATTAGAATAAAATAAAAAATTGACATCCTAATTAAATAAATAAAAGAAATTGTTTAACAAAAAAATTACGGAGTAAATAAAGTAAATTTTGCACATGGGAATGATGAGATGGATAGAATGAGAACCCGCACGGGTAGCCCAGTTGGTCGAGTGGTGAGAAAATTGGACCAAGAGACCAAGATTCGAAACCCGCAGCGGCCGTGTGAAGGTCACAGAACCTGAAATAAACCTTAACTTCTGGTGCGCACGTGTATAAGGTCTACCTTCATTTTGGTGACTGAATTACAGTGATTAACCTCCCCACCTGGGGTCGAGTGGGGGGCTTGAGGTTGGGCATTAACCTTTTGGATCAAAAATGGATAGAATGAGGTTAGCCCCCACAGCCCTTGGCTTCGTATATATCCTTATAAAATACCTGTATTTGAAAAGGGTAAATATCCGGAGTTATACAGTACGAAGCACTTGGCAAGGATACATCTTTCCAGAGAAACTTCAAGAAAGCTATTGACCAGCGGGGCAACGGAATTGCGTGCTGCTATACGGTCAGTCATACGGACTTTGTATTTCGTTATTGTTTTTTATCACCTGATTCGCCTGGATGAGTGAAAAAAGTTTAGCCGAAGAAACTCAAGAATCTGGAGAAAGTGATTTGCCCAAAGGAGAAGCATTTGGAGCTGAATGTGTAGAAATTTATTCTAAAAGTGTTAGGGAAAATAATCGAATTAGGAATTCAATTGATAGGATCAGTGCATTGCCGGATTGCTTACTTGTTCACATCATATCTTTTCTGGGTTTGAAGAAAGCTGCTACTACAAGTATTTTGGCCAAAAGATGGCAGTTTCTTTGGGCTGAAATACGGAGCCTTGAATTTGATTTCTACGATTGGGGTAAAAGTAAGGAAACCAAGAATACAGCTGACTTCGTGGCTTGGGTTAATAGGATCATTGCTACTCGTCGTGGAAATTATCTTGAGAAGTTGAAGGTTTCTTTCGAGTACGAGGATTGCTTTGCTACAGATGTTGATAACTGGCTGGAGTTTGCCATAAAAAATAAGGTGGAAGAATTCACTTTGAGAACTAACTACAGCAAAGATTTATACATTCTCCCTGAAATGATGTATTGTAATCTATCCTTGACATCATTGTCTTTGGAAGGTTGCATTTTGGATCCTGAAAGAACAATTGTGTGGTCATCTTTGACTAAATTAGAATTATCAAGAGTGGATTTGCCTGAGTATGTAGTTGAAAAGATATTATCAGGTTCTCCTGTTTTGAATTCCTTGGAGCTGAGTATGTGCTGGGGATTCACTTGTTTGGAGATCAACTCTAAAAATCTCAATAAGCTGGTGGTGTCAGAATCTGAAGAGGAAGAAGGAAGTGAACCTTTCTTGCAAATTTCAGCACCCTATTTAAAAGATTTGAATCTTTGGTTGTGTCCTACACAAAGTCAGTTAAAGCTCAAAAACATTTCATCCCTTGTTAGTGCGAGTTTTAATTATTCCGATCCATTCGGGCATTTGACCTCTGAGGATGTGAGTAATACGAAGGAAGTATTTGAAAAGATTGAGCATGTCAAGGAGCTTCATTTGGGGCCTGGACCCGTTAAGGTGTGTATGATTCTTCTAGCTTCGTTGACATTCTTATGTTTCAAAATATAAATTCAAATGATCTTCAAGACGAGTTTTAAAGAAATGTTTGTTTGGAATTCATATATGTTGTCTATGAATGTGATAGTTTCATTGGATATTTGGATATCTATGTATCCAAATAAAGTATTACCTCTGAAATTTAATACTTGGCTGCTCATTGTTTTCAAAAGCCGACCTGATGATGAACTTGCTGTGTTGTTTTTCTTCTTCAAGCATGAGGTTATACTGATATTAGAGCTGATAAACCACGTGATCAAATACGCCTCTATTTTTCCTGTTTAAACTTGAGAAAAAATACATTTAAATGAGGAGAACGGGTTCAGAAGACAAGTTAGACAACGTATGTATAGCCAACATCTTATGGCAGTAAAGGACTTAACCCTACATAACATTTAGTGCATGAAAGATAGATACTTATGTTTAGCAGAAAATAACATTTTTCCATCATTTGCAATGGAGCCAAAGATTCATTATTTTTGGTTTGAGATTATGATGGAATAAAGCAAAATGGCTCACTAAACAGTCTGCGCTTCTTTGTTATGGAGCAGCAGCCAGTCCATGCAATTTTGGACGCGATTTTCACTATGGGTCATCCGGAAGCAGTCTCTCTGTGCTTTAGAAAAAACAGGGGTAAGACTGCGTACATCCGACCCCCCCTTACCCCACCGTAGGTGGGAGCCTTTGCGGCACTGGGGTAAATGAAAATGATGAATGAAAATGATGATGAAACTAATGAAAGGATACTTTTTGTATATGGCAGTAAAAGACTTATCCCTACAGAATTTTGAGAAACAATAAATTTTTATTATCAAAGAATTCAATACCATTAAGAGTGTGTCATAGATTTGTTATGTGTTTCTAACCAGGAGTTGCAATAAATTAAATGATTGTTGTTTGACAGCAATGTAGAAGTGACTTAGGTAGGGAGAATAAAGTTTCATGAGCTATCTTAGTAATTGTTCTCACATCTATTAATAACTTCACATCCTGAATTCATGGTCTTTTGTTACCGTTAAGGTGATCATTTAAAGAGTTACAATATAAGTGTTATTTAAAGTGTTATTTTTCTGTCTACTAACAACAAAAATCATTTATTTTGTGTGATAAGGTGATCATTAGCCAATGCAATTTGAGTATAATTTGAAAAAGTGTTGGTGGTATATAAGCTAATTGATGATAATGATTTTGTTACGGGATTGTTAATTTTACTATTTGATGATAAAGTTGTCATTTAGAGAATTAATTATTTCCTAAAAGGGTAATAAGATCATTAATATGGGACATCAGAAAGAGGCAAGTAAAACCTTCGGAGGGAATATATTCTATGTATGTATAATATCTTTGTTTTTTTCTCTACATGTATACTAGGCTCTAGCTGCGCTGGTACTTAATGGTTGGCGGCTTCCAAAATATAAGCTAAGGTGCTTGAAAATAGAATTGTTTTGTAGTGCTTTAGAAACCATACCTGGCATTTTGGGTCTGCTGGAATGTTCTCCAGACATTGAGACATTGGTCATAGCTTGTGAGGACCCCTTTGCAGTAAGTATTAATAATTCATGTCATGATTTTTGGTATAAATATTTATCTAATCTGGTTTCAGGTAATTATATTATATGCTTTGTACTCGTAATGTTTTATGATAATATATGTGTTTTCTCTGCATGATTAAAGCGGTGTTTGCGGTTACTTCTACTTTAAAAAAATGATTTTTTATTTTAAATTTGTAGAAAGTGCTTAATAGTAAAAGTTGATAGTGTTTGAAAAAAAGTGCTTCTAAAAAAGTAAAAGTTGGTAATGTTTGGTAAAATAAGTGTTTTACGTAATAGAAAAAGTGAAAAGCAGTTTAAAACACCCTTTCACCTAAAAAGTAAAAGTTGGTAATGTTTTGTAAAATAATTGTTTTTTGTGTTTCAAGTGCTTAATTTTTTAAGCACTCATTTCAACTTTTTCAAGTTAAAATGTGGAAAGTACTTTTTTTAATTTTTTGCAAACACTCCCGGAGCTTGTCTTAAATTTGCTATGATTCTAGTTGGACGATATCTGGGGCCCACTTGCAAAGGATAATTTGGTTTGCGACTTATTGCACTTGAAGACGATCAAATTGATTGGCTTGGGAGTTCCAGATCTTGATGGTGAACCATTGCTCACATTGGCCCAAATCCTTCTTAAGAGGACACCGGTATTGGAAGATATGGACATAGATATTGATTGTGAAGATTCAGATGACTTCGACACGGTAGAACAAACCTTGCTCAGATATCCTAGATCCTCACCAAAGGCTGTCATCAATGTAGTAGATGAGTTTGATTTCTCTACTTTGTAAACCATTTAGTATTCTCTTCCTGTTTTTTTTTTCTATTTTGCCTAACTTGCTACTAATGGGATGTTTTTTGGTCAAATGAAAAAAAGAAATTTGACAACCGCTATTCCGTGAACCAGACTCGGAATTAATCACCAGGGGCGGTCCTGTATATTTGAGGGTCTATGGGCGAATAATTTAAAATGGGCCTATTTTTAGAAAAAAAATGTCAACCCCGTTTCTATCTAAATTAACATGCAAAATAATAATATTCGAAGACCTTTATAATTAAGAAAATACCTGAATTCATTAAATTAAACATAGTCAAATCACATTTTCAAAAGAACCAAATAAAATATTACTTAAATACATTTATTGTTGAACATTGTGAAGCAAAGTCATCAACTATAGTTTCATAATTAAGCTTTTCTAACGCATTATGTTCAATATTTAATATAGCTAATCCATTAAGCCTTTCTTGAGACATTGTTGATCGCAGATAACTTTTGAGAATCTTCAACTTTAAAAAACTCCTTTCTGCAGTGGCCACAATTACCGATACTGTCAATAGTATCCTTTAAGCAATTGTTGTGTTCGGATAGCAGTCCATAATCTTCACAAAATCAAGAATTTGAATAACATTCTCTTTGTCATCCGGTAAAACATTTTGCAACATTTTCAATTCTTGAAAGAGATCATTCCTATCAACATCTTCTTTCTCACCATCTTGTAAAGCATCTGCAAGTATCTCACAACATTCTTTCAATTTATCATGAGCCAACGATTTCAAGTTCCTTGAACTAAACATAAAACCAAATATACGGTGAAAGTTCTTCATCTGATCAAATCTAGTTTGCAAAGACATCAAAGCAGCATCCATCACAACATTGAAATAAAAACATTTAAAAGAATCTTCTGGAGACTTATCTTCATCATCTTCTTCATTGTCTTCATCAAAGTATCTTTTCCTACGCTTCAGGCGTTTTTTAGGAAAACCGGGTTCCAATCCCATTTCAAGAGCAATGCCTTTTGTGGTGTTCAGAGCATCTTCAAACCCTTCTTCACTATACTTGTTTAAATGAATAATCAAATCATTCATATTCATCACACAAGTATAAATGCACATATCTTCACTTTGTAACAATTTACTCACCTGTTTAAATAAATAATCAAATCATTAATATTCATAACACAAGTATTGATGCACATATCTTCACTTTGTAACAATTTACTGACCTCATTAATCGGGTGCAAAACTTCATACCATATTGTCATGCCCAATAAGAACTCAAATCTCTCCAGCTGTTTGAGCACACTTTTAACATCACTTTTTGATGAATAATCAGGACAATCTTTTCCCAATTTAATCAAAGCTTCTCTTATTTGGGGAGTTTGGGTTGCAATTGCTTTCACACTTTCTAGACGACATTCCCAACGTGTGGTGGACAATGATTTCAAAGTAAAACCATGTACACATTCTTTCAAAATTGCCCATCTTTTTGTTGAACCAGAAAACAATGTATACAATTTTTGAACACATCCAAAAAATGTAACAGCTATAGAACAAGAATTCACCATATCTGAAATGGTTAAATTAAGACTATGACAAGCACATGACATGTAAAAAGCTCTTCGATTAATGTCAAGCAATCTTCTTTGAACCCCCTGTTGCTTACCTTTCATGTTGGAGCCATTATCATAACCTTGTCCACGCACATCATCAATGTCAAGTTCACATAAAGCCAAAATACGCTCCAATTCACCAAAGAGCCCTAACCCAAATGTATCAAGCACTTCGATAAACTCTAAGAAAAATTCAAGAACTTGAGGCTTGTTTGATGACATATCTACACACCTTACAATCAAAGTCATTTGTTCTTTGTGAGCAGAATCGGGCGTGCAATCAAGAATGATTGAAAAATATTTAGCAACCTTGATCTGTGAGATAATTGTATTTTTAACACCCGATGATGATCTCAAAATCAACTCATTCTGAATTTTATGACTAAGATAATGATAATGAATCTCCTTTGATTGAATACGTCTCACATGCTCTTGCATAACCGGATCAAATTCAGCAAGCATCTCAATGATAGCTAAAAAAATACATTGTTATCTTCATATAGTTTTTCAGTGCTTCCACGAAAGGCAATGGATTGTTTTGCAAGAGTCTTAACTAAAGCAATTATTCTCCTAAGAACATCTCTCCAATGCTTCTTCTCTTTGGCAAGTTTTTCCTGAATAGCAAAATCAATTGTTTTTTCCTTTGCCAATCTCATCTTCATATCAATCCATTTTTGCACATTACCAAAATGTTGAAAACTTTTTTCGTGACTAGAAAGTTTCTCACTCAAGCGTTTCCAATCATTAAATCCTTCATTCGCTAAAAGATTAGGCCCCTCTTTTGTTTTGAACAGCTTGCAACAAAAACAGAACACTTTATCCACTTTTTTTAGTACACCAACCACGGTCTATCTTCGTTTTCCTTATTTTTCATCTTTCTAGTGTAGTAGGCATTTAAGAAATGTCTAGACTTATCATCAAGTGGATAATTGACTTGCGTTTCTCTTATAGGGCCTTTTTCAATTACAATGTCTTTTGTTTTGGCATCTAGATTTCCCCAATCAGCAGGATCATAAATATCCAAAATCAAAGGACACGTATTTGAAGTTGATACATTTGATCCATTCAAATTATTTTTTGGTTGCTCACTACCAATATGATCAACTCCTAAATTTTCCTCTGCCATGACATGATCATTCTGAATTGTTTCATTTTCGGTAGCTAAACCATTCATTTCCATTAAGTTCTCATCTCGAGGAGCACATTCAGGATTTACCTTCTTCACACAATCAAACTTTTCCATCGAACCTTTTTGACTTAGGGCCTCTTTTTCTAATCTTTGCTTCCTTTTCTTTTTCTCCCACCCAGACTCAACCATTTTTATTATACATTGAAATTAATTAAATTTATAAATTGAATAATTGAAACTTTTACCAAACATAATCAATAAATTATACAGTACCACTTAAAACTTACGAAATACAAATCATGTAATCATTGAAAACTAATCATTTATCAATTACTAGGTATTTATAAATATTAAACAACTACTCCGTATGAATCATCAATTATGATTCGTGACAGTAAAAAAGAAGAAGGTCAATCGTGATTCATGAATGGGTGAAGGAAATCAATTAATTCTGAATTAATGAATAATGATTAATGAGATATGAGTATAAACTAATCAAATTTATCAACTATTCTTTTTTGAATTTGAACAGCTGATTGAGTGGGAGTCGGTGGACTCACTTGAATTTGTGAAGGGCCGAAGGTTGAAGGCTGATTGAGTGATTGGCTGAATTGCTTCTTAGTTCTTACTCCGTAGTAATTTGCCGAAGGCTGAAGGCTGAAGGCGGTGAGGGCACTTCGGAAGACTGAAGGCGGTGAAGGTCGTAGCAACTCCCAACCGTCTAACTTGATCAAGGGATTACGCGGGCTGCTACGTAACTCCTTTAGGGCTTTCGGGCTTCGGCAGACGTGAGTTAGAATCTACTGGGCCGGACAAAAATGGTATTTAAAGATGAAAACTCAGCCTACTCAAACCTATTCCAAAGAAAAAATTCTGGGCCCAAAATTTTTTCCATTTTTTTGGGCCTATGTACCCCCCCTGCCCCCCACCCAACGCCGCCCCTGTTAATCACCTCCAAAGAAGCAATATAATTCGCTGATCCAAAAGTGGGAAACTTAAAGCCATAAACAGTCACCATATTCCTCTCATCCCCCACATCCAAAATCAACTATCTTACAAACAGGAACACAAAAGAAAAAAGCAAACAGCAAAGCAAAAATAACAATCTCTGAAACAGCAAACAAAAATAAAAAACTTCTGATTCAGCCAGAAAACTCGAATCATCCCTCGGACCAGCGGCCATGGCGGCAGCTCGGGAGGGGGACGCACTCGCCGTTCATCCACCTCAAAAGTCAGTAGCACTCCTACCACCTGAAACCATGGATTGCTTTTCTCTACCGGAACGTCTTTCGTATTGAAATTCAGATCTTCTTCCTCCGTCCCAATCGCTATGTTTTTGTATTTGTATACAAAACACTCCATTCACAGCACGAAACCCCTGCAACAAAACGAAACTTTCGTGGAGGCCGACTTTGACAGACCACGCCGAAATCTTCAACGCTCCTCCTTCCGCCGCTGAATCCAACCGTAATAGCTAAATCCAAAAGCAGCATCCAACAATAAAGATCTCGGTGTCGTAACCGCCAAGCGATCACCACCGGACTAAGACCTAGGCGTTACCTGAGCGGCAACCCTAGAAACGGCTTCATATGTTCAAAATGTTATAAGTGGGAATTAGTGAACTCATACGGAGTATTAAATATAATAAAAGATATTGTTTCTATTGATCTATCCTTTATGCATACAACATTCAAATATAAGTTAAAATTCAAATCAAATACTTTTAACATTTTTTAGAAAGTGTAGTTTTTCAAATTCATTTTCAAACAAAGTTAGTTATACATTTCAAATCTATCCCTTTATGCTTCTTTAATATTTTTTATTAGTTTTATATTAATTAGAGATTAGAGATATAAAAGTGTAGGGACCCCGTGAATCCGACTTTCTGGGTCCGCCACTGGCCTGAATATTACTTAAAATAGGATAAAAGACAAAAAAGTGACATGTTTTTAAAAGTTCCAAAAATATGACCAACATCACAATTAACCTGTGTAGTGCAAAGTGACTCTGGCCAAAGTGACTCCGCCACCACAGTGACTGTCCCACTGGCCACAACGGTTGCCCCGCCGACCACAGTGATTGCTCCATCGGCCACAGTGACTGCTCTACCGCCCACAGTGACCACCCACCGGCCAAAAGACTTCGACACAGTGACATCGTTGTAGTGTCACCGCCACAGCCACGGTGACACCGCCGACCGGCGGTCATAGTGACACAGTCGTCACCATCTTCCTGACCACCACCACCGATGGTCACCACCGACCTCCGTGCCTCTGGTGACCACCCCCACAGTCACCAGTGACCACCCCTCTCCACCACGGTCCACACCAGCGCACACCCGATTGGAACCCTAGTCAGCTAGATCTAGTGCTGCTCCAGAACCCTTTCTCACGCGCCCTCACTCGCAGTCCTTGAGGGTCAAAACGTTAGTTTTCTGACAAACTTTGTGAATCACCGATGTCCAGGTCAAAACTTAGGCAAATCTGATCATATTCTTTCAAAGTCAAACCTAAGGTCTAAGCTGCACTGTAGAGGTCCGAAAATCGTAGATAATTCAATCAACCTCGCGTCAACGGTCATCTTACAACAATCAACAATCAACTACTGAAGCCTCCCCTAACTCATCAACATTGTGTGATCCTCAAACATGCTGAAATTCCAAATGATGAGCTTAGGGAAACCGTCATGTTTGTTACCTGTTCAGATTGCTCCACACACATGGCGGGTATGACGAGCTGTGAGCAATCAAACCTTGCACACTCTGAGGGGGAGTTTCAGTTTTCTCCTCCTGGCGCCTTACACCGACAAAGCAAGGAATCTCTCAACGGATGCAACATTTTAGGGGGAGTGTTCAATGTTATCCTCCCCGGTGCCAAACAATGTCAAAGCATACCGAGTGCTCCAGTTGAGGGGGGGTACAGAGAGAAAATGAAGAAAGTAATGAGAGAACATGTCCCATATGGCTTAGTAAACCCAACTAAGCCTACCCAAGGGACAAAGTCGAGTGTAAGTGAGTGAGTGAAAATTATGAACATTAGGAAGCAGAAGGCTCAAGTGAGCAACGAAACAATTATCACTGATAAGTCTGCTACCTGAACTCCCTACTATCCATTGACCATTTACTCCTAGCCTCTCAAATACTCTGGACAATCCCCATAGGTTCAGGGCTGATTTAATCAGATCCTGGGTAGAAGTCACTGCATCTTGTCCAACCGTGCATGCTTAACCCTACCCAAGAACACTCACTTGTCTCCCAATAGACAGGTGTTTAATCACATTTCATGGGGAACCTGATCTCTCATTACTGTCTCCTTCTGAGGCAAGTGATACTGATTACAGTGGCCTCAGCCCCATGCCACTGAACTTTCATTGATCACGTCGTGCCTAGTTACTCACTCCAAAATGTTTTGAAATTTTCTAGGACACAGACGCACTTTTTGAGTCAGATGCAGGTCTTCTTGACCCGCGAGAACTTCCATAGGGCTCATCTATTACAGATGTAGACCAATGATTGGAAGGAAGTCCTTCTGATACAACATAAGAATCATCATCATTTTCAGGCCATCGCTTCAGAGTTTAACTCTATAGTGATGATAACGGGAGTCTACACGACCCCGGGGGCTACGTTATCTTCTTTACATTCTACTTGTTTTTCATGTTTTATTTCCGCAGAATAAAAGAATAAAGGCATGACGCCCCGATTCATCGGATCGTCATGAGGGGGAGAGTGGTCCACATGCTGTTAACTGTCAAAAAAATCATTCTGGGACACTTCTCTCCTCCAACACTCTATCTACTATCTCCACAACTCAAATGGTCAGCTACGCTCACAAATCAACCATCATTATGTTCCGTTGTGCCACCGACAAGTTCTCCTCAAAAGCATTCATTCCAAATAGTCAAAAAGACTACATTGTGGAGGAGACAGAGGTCAAATACTCGTGTCCTGAAGATGAATTCCATGGGCGTCTCCTATTCTTCAAAGAATACTCATTCTAGAGGCGTCACCGGACTTCATCCAAGCTGATCAAGAGCAATTTTTGGAAGGCAAGGACTACATGCAAGATACTGAAGATCCCTCAACCCCCGGCATCAAAGATCAAATTGCCAAGAAGACATCAAAGGGGAGATTGCAAGGACTTCTTCAGAAAGCCTTCCTCAGAAGTCAAGCTCAAAGACAAAGGAAGCTGAATAACAACAAAGACAAAGATATTTGCGCTGCAATGCTGATTCAACACGATTGAACACCAAGGGGGAGATTGTTAGGAATATTTTATGGTGTCCAATCTAATTAAATATCTTTGTATTTGTGTAGTTATTAATTAAACATGTAATACGGGCCACAAATGTGTATCGGCCCGTTAGCTTCTTTGTAACCCGTAAGTTAGACAACTTCTCCTATAAAAGGAGGCTAACTTACGGGAACCCTAACGTTTGAGGCTTTAGAGAATAGAGGCGAGATTGAGAGAGAATAGGGTTTCCGCTGCTCTCCTTCTCCAGGGAGAGCAACGGGATTTCATACGGTATACCAGATTCGGTTTTAATCTTCTCAATATCTTTCTATTTGCTGCTTCTTATCACTGTGATGATTGTTTGATTGTTAAGTTTTGGGACTATCAGAAAAGTAACTCCAATTCTACTATTTCTTATTATTACACAATTGAGCGTGCGAAATCAAAAGTTACACGCTTAATGAAAAGGTTGGCGTGAAATAATACTCTACATCAATTATTTTGTTCAAATTGATTTTTTAAAATTTACTTCTTGAATACTATTCTTTCCATCATTTGAAATGGAACCAAAGACTCACTATTTTTTGGCTTGGGAATATGATGAAATAAAGCAAAATGTCTCACTAAACTGTCTGTGCTTCTTTGTTATGAAGCAACAGTCACTTCATGCAACTTTTGACGTGAATTTCACTATGGGTCATCCGCAAACAGTCTCTCTGTGATTTAATATAGGGGTAAGGCTGTGAACATCCGACCCCCCTTAACCCAACGATAGGTGAAAGCCTTTGCGGCACTAGATTAATTATGATGATGATGACGACGACTTGAATACTACGAAATCTAGACATATGTAAAACAATGATAAGAGACAGAGTCCCATTCTGGTGCGTCCGGCCGCACAAGAAGCGCCGTCCGGCCGACGGCTTTTGGCTGCCTTCCCGGTAGAATTTTTTGATGAAATTTTTATGGCATGTTCTTCATCAAGTCTAGTTTATACACACAAAAAAATCATATTCCATTGTTTTCCAAAGTAAAACCAAAAATAAGAAAATAACTTTTCTCAGCATTTTCTTTCCTTAAGCATTTTCCAGAATGCAAACCTTGCAAAACAAACATTTCTATCAAGGAGGATAGACTTACACAATATTTATGCACATATAGTGACAATCATTCTACACTTAAACTTCCTGCAGAACTACACTTATTGGGAGCAGTCAATTTGTCACAACTGCTTATAGGTATGCTTCAAAGTCGTAATAGGTTGTAGACTGAAATTGTGAAAAATGGTGATCATTTCAACTTTTTGCTGAAATCAGAGAGCTCAAGAAGGTGAATTCTAGAAATCTGTGCAGCTTCCTCCCTCTCTTTTGGAGTGTTGTAACCCCAATCACCTGATGAATTAAATAGCTCAAAGTCCACAAATTTGGAAGCAATAATAAGGGGTCAAATTGAGGGTTTGAATAAGTGGAAAAGTATTGCTATATATCACAGGGGTGAGTGGTGACATAAAGGGGAGGCTGATAAAGGATGGAAGTTGGAGTAACTTACCTAGATACAAGTTCCATCCATCTAATTCAGGCTCTTTGATCACATTCTTTAGGGTTGCAAGTCGGTCTTCCACAAAGCTGACATAAGTGGGATTATGCTCGTAAGATACCGCCACATCACACTATAAACTCAGTAGAAATGAAATACTTCTTCCCCTTTTTAATAGATAATTACATATATTAGTGACCAAATTTGTTTGTTGACATATGAGGAAGTCAGACTAGCAACTAAAATACAATGAAATAACCACAAGTACATGACATAAGTTAAAATAATAGACATGGATAGTTGATATTCTGAAAATTGACCATGTAGTTATATTTTTGCCCATGTTTTATTTTGGTCATATTGTAGGAAAAATACCATAGAATGAAATAAATAAAACTTTTAACTGTTTCCATTTTAGCTCTGCTAACCAATAAACTTACTGTAGGGTAAGGCCCTTGTTTTCTGGCATTTCTTGAAGCTCCTTCAGCACTTTTACTTTCGGCCTGATCCAAAGAAAACATAAAGTGTAGCTTTCAATTAAGAGGGCTGCCTTTAACAAACATTTGGATGTATAATTTCCAACAGGAAAAAACTCACCCTGTACCTAGACCATAGATCATTTCAGGGGCAATAGTTACGCCAGCAAGCTCATGAAGTAATGAATATGCGAAGCGGCTCTGAATTGGAAATGCAGCAATACACATAACTAACACCCAACTGTCATCTATTTATGTGGTTGTAACACACAGATACCTGTTTTGTGGTCACAATGTAGATATTTGAGCTTGCAAACTTCAGCGCATCTGCTACTCCAGGATAAAACCTGCAGAAGATCAGAAGCTCATAGTAATAATAGTGAAAAAGGACTTATGGAAAATGCAAGTAATGTGTTTCCATGCATAAACTTCTTCAAGGAACAACATACGTAGCAAATGAATAGGGTAAAATGCAGTTTTTGTCCGGTAACTGTAGGAGATTGGCAATATTAATGCTGTTGGAATTTAGCAATCTGGACCAAGTTCTTATAAAAAAATTGACAATTTGTCTGGAAACCTCCCGAAAATTGCAAAACTCACGAGAAGATACTATTTGAATTAGAGATGAAATGAATTGCAAGTGGTGTGATAGTTTTATTATATTTCTTAAAAAGACCAGATATTCAATTTAATTAAAAATGACAAAAAATGTCTTTTTCCACTTTTTCCTTGAGTAGTATGTTTAGCATTTTGAACGGCATTTTGCATGGTTTGAAGACTAAAATGCTCATATTTGAAAAAAGGTCTAAATTGCCTAAAGAATGGCACAAGTTCTGCGAACTCTATAAGATTATGTACTGTGTTTTTCACTTTTTCCCCACATGAGAATAAAATCAGAAGGAAACACGCTAAAGAAGATATATTCACTCCACCAATAAACATCTTAGGGTGCATGAACAATCATTTTGGTATGCAGTTTGACGCCATATGATATAGGGCAGTGCTAGGTTACTTACCTGTTTGATCCAATCCAAGTATCCATATCATTGTCCATCCAGGCATCCCTGACCTTACCAAAAAGATCAATCAGTTCATCTACGTTTTCATTCCACTCTTCAGTAATGAGAGGCTTTATCTTCCTCCAGTTTTCAAGTATATCGTAGACTGTAAGTCCATCTGCAACCTTGAATATTCAACAACAAACTTATAAACATCAGGGCCCGTTACTATCAAGACAAAACAAGCACAAAAAAGAAAGAAAATTTCCAATCAAGATATCAGTAGTGTATCACCACACCGATTCAACTATTTGATAGTTTCTGAATACCAACCGAGGACTTGCGAACGGAAGGAACTCTAATTTCTAACAGAAGCCTCACAAGCAATAGATTTTCATAGCCAAATTCTACCACAGGCCTAACCTGAAACAAATTTCGATGTTAATTATGCATGAACTATATGTTTCAGACATAAATGCATCAGCTTTCCAAACATCATTTCCAAAAAACGAAGATAAAATTGTCACCAATGATTCCTACATTTACACATTTAACAAAAAAATCTTCACTATAAGAAATTTACGAATAATAATCTCAACTCTACAGTAATTTTCTGCACTGTTAAGGCTCCCCGTTTGTTTGTTATTTTTGAAAAAATAACATGAGAAATTCAACCACACTGATTTTGATCCTAAAATTATTTCCAGTATAAATATAATCTCATACTTATTGTGTCCCAAAATAATCTTCTTACTTCTTTTTAGTTGTGTCAAATGAATTTCTCCATTTTAAAACAAATTCAACCACCCAAGTCCAAATTCTTAACTCCTAGCCAAAAACAAGTGGAAGGTTATTATGACAAGGAGATGGTACAACAACATCCAAGCCGTAGTCCCAAAAGAGTTTGGGGTCAGTTTAATAAAAATTGTATTAAATAAAGTTAAGCCTTCCCTACTAATATATGTGTGTGTAGATTCCGGATCAAATAAAAACCTTTCTTCCCGTGAAAACTACAAACCGGTCAGTTTTTACCCATTGTGATGCACTACTAGGTACCTGTATTGCACTTTTTCACAATGACATACAACTTTGACTTAATTACAAAAATGCCACCATATTTTTTTATTTGACATGATTCGACCAAAGTTAAAAAAGTGCAAGAGATGAGCTTTAAAGAGAATCAAATTGAGCCAAAAGTGACAGTTTGCAGTTTGCACGATAGGGATGATTTTTATCGGAACCGCACCATATATATATTGATATTAATATTTAATATTAATAATTCAAATTCTGTTGAATCGCAATAATCAAATTTGAAAATTATGAAAATTTATTCTACAAAATTAGAATTAGAAGGAAGCTATATAAGTTGATAATGAATTGTTTCTGGGTCTTTGGAAAAAGTTAAGTTATATAAGGTAATTGATGCTGCACTTTAAGAAAAATTGATGCTGCAAATTCATTTGCTTTCATCCCTAGAACAAAAAACCCGGAATTGGAATTATATTCGAAACTTCAGAGATGAACAAGAGGCAACTTACAATATGCATATGATAAACAATCCAATCTTCTGACGAAGGATCAAGAGTCTTGAACAGACTGGGCCATCTCACTCTGGCAGCCTACAATCAACAGCCGTGGTAAGAGATCAGATTCAATTAAGTCAATGCAAGGGTTTTATTATCAGAAATGCATCAATGAAACTACGGAAAATTGAACTTCCTGTTAAATAATTAAATAAAATATCAAAAAACAACATTGTGTGACCTTTACAGCAGATAGAGAGCTTTCTCCGCAACTATCACAGAGAACCCCGTCGAAATCCAGGGCATACAAATCACCCATATCCCTGTCTTAGGGGCTCTGAAATGGCAGGGCTTATACTCAACTTTGAACAGTGGCTCTTCTGGTAGAATTAACGGCAACAAGTGCTGCTTTTAGAATTCACAGTGGCTCTTATCTATTCATCGTAGCCGTAGATAAATGAAGAGAAAAATGGGTGAGTTTTCACAATTGAGAAAGCTGCCTGTTCATCGTAGCATATGTGCATTGTGCTCCCGTTTTCTACAAACGGGGTCTCTAAGTTCCCAATTTTTTAAAAAATTATTAGTATTTTTTTGTGTAGTAAAAAAAAATACAAGTATATTACTACATAGTATTATACTCCTTCCGTCCCGAATTGAATTGCAAACTTTGACTGACACAAAGATTAAGCAATAACAATAAATGATACTCCCTCCGTCCCTAAATAAAAGTATCTGTTTCCTTTTCGGACCGTCCCTAAATAAAAGTTCTCTTTCCTTTTTTGGCAAACAAAACAGTGCAAAACAGTGTCAAACAGTGCCAAACAGTGTCCGAACAGTGCCAAACAGTACCAATCAATCCCACTTTCTTAAAATGTGTGGAAAACGAATGGATACTTTTATATAGGGACGGAGGAAGTACTTGTTTTTTACACTTTTGTCCATCTTCCTAAAAATAGATGTCTTTTAGTTAATGGAAAAAAGTAAAAGTAAATGTAAATTTGTCACTTTATTCTTTTCTGCATACCTAAAATAGAAAGTGGAAAACAATTTTGGACAACCAAAATAAGAAATTTTGCAAATCAAATTGAGGCGGGGGGAGTATGGTAATAATATGGAGAAATAATATACAAGAATAATCTCAACTATTAATAATCTGCTTGAAATAATCCAAAATATCAATTATCTCAAAACAATCCACCTTCTTGGACTACCTTTTTTTCATCTCATTCAAGTTTCATCTCTTTAAAGTCTTTCAAATCTAGCCAACCTCACCTTTAGTGGAGGATGACTCATCGAGGATGACGCCTATGTTGGCAATCCATTGAAAATGGTTGAAGCCGTTTAAGTTTAAGTCCGTCGTCACAAAACTCATATCAACACAAATAACCTCTAAAAGGTTATTTTCCGGCGAACCGGTCATTTGGCTTCTAAGTCCGTTATTGGACTTAGAACTATCTTCTAACCCTTTGTTCTACACTTCTAAAAATGTAGAACAATCCTAGGGGTCTTACATATGTTATATAAGTCATATGATAATTAAAAAAGTAAAGGAAAAAATTATTATAAGGTTAATACCTTAATCATTCACACTTTTCCTAACTTTTCCTTCTTTAATCTTCTTCCTTGGACCAACTTTGCTTGGGCTAGGTTCTTGGTTATGGAGGAAGTAGTTTGAAGAGGTTTTCTTCCTCTCTTGGTGAGACTTGGCCGAAATTATGGAGTGGGGAGTGATTGAGAATGCCTTTTTGGCATTTCTCACAATAATGTGATGAATAGGTCTCACTCCATTTATTTGATTTGTTCCCCAAGTTCATTCCTCTTTGTTTCCCATTCCCATATGCGGCTCTCCTTGATCTTTGCAAGGCTAAAAACGTGGGTTGGCCCCCACACATGTGGGAGGTCATCCCTTTATGTCCAGAAGTGTACAATCGGTCCCGAAAGTTATATTTCTCAGACTGTTTTAATTATATTTTATTTTATCGGGCCGAATAAAATATATCACACGTTCCTCATCATTATAGGCTTTTGGAATAGATTTACATTCCCCAACTTTAATTTAGATGTCTACGAAATTCATTTCGGGATGTTATCCGATAAATTACCAATACCGGTAATTGGGCCTCGTTTGACCAACGGGTCAACTCCATGCCTTTTATATGGCTCAAATAAAGTATTCATCATCATATACATATTATATAGACCAAGATGAATATAATATGGGGTTCCAGAATTATCGTACGGTCCCTGTTCCCAATGTGGGCCCCACGTGCAATTTACTATTCACGTAAAAGAAATAACAAAAATTCACACCTTTGCAAGTTCATAAATCATCCTTCAAGTTTTATTACATAATTTACTAAAAAGTAAATATGCTTGGGGACGGTGTTACACAACAGGCCCGGTAGGCCCAGTTGGCCCAATTATAGCGAACAACACTCTGGACAACCCATACTGCAACAAGGTGTAGGGGACGTACGACATGAAGAGCCCTGGATACGTACGACCTCTAACACATGAAGAGCTCTAGCTATATACGGCCTAGGGGGACGTACATCCTCCCACACTTGCCGGTCCTCCCCAGCTACGTACGGCCCAAGGGGACGTACGTCCTCCCACACTTGATGGTCCTCCCCGGCTACGTACGACCCAGGGGACGTATGTCCTTCAGCACATGAAGTCCTCCCCAGTGACGTACGACCTTCGGCACGGGCTGCCTTCGGCTCATACATGACCTCCGGCACATGCAGACCTCGGGTGCATGTAGGCGAGGGCACTCTCCTCGACAGGATCTCCTCTCCACATGCTCTAAATCACCACATTAAATGCAGTGTGACACCGTCCCCAAGCATGTTTACTTTTAGTAAATGATGTAGTAAACCTTGAGAGATGATTTATCAATTTACGTAATTGTCAAATTTTATTATTTCTTTTACGTGAATAGTAAATTGCATGTGGGGCCCACAGTGGGAACGGGGACCGCTCGATAATTCCCGAACCATATATTATATTCATCTTGGTCCAGATGACATCTATATGGAGGTGGATATTTTATTTGGGCCATAAGAAAGGCATGGAGTTGACCGGTTGGTCAAACAAGGCCCAATTACCGGTATTGGTAATTTAGCGGATAACAGCCCGAAGTGAGTTTCGGAGACTCCTAAATTAATGTTGGGTAATGTACATCTATTCTAAAGGCCCATAATTATTAGGACCACGTGATATATTTTATTGGGCCTGATAAAATAAAACATAATTAAAATAGTCCGGGAAATACAACTTTCGGGACCGATTGTACACACCGGGACATAAGGAGATGACCTCCCACATGAGTGGAGGCCACCCCACGTTTTTGTGTGCTCCATTTGACTGAATGGGAGCTAATACTAGTCGGGGGATTAATACAAATAAATGATGAAATAAATCCTAAGAGGTAGGATTGTGAATAGATATGCCTTAAGTAGTCCCAAGAGATACTTTAAGGTTGAATTGTATGAACACTAAGATGTGTTAGGGGTAGGCCTAAAGGCTATCCAAGGGAATTGATTCTAGGCATAGGATTTGCTTGAGAATTGGATTATGAAAATAATTAGAGTTGGACTCTAGGAGGACATGGAAATGTAGTTGGGCCGAGCCCTTGCCATGTAATATGATTAGCATGGAAACATAGTTGGGCCGAGCCCTTGCCATGTATTTGTGATCTTCGTGGAAACGTAGTTGGGCCGAGCCCTTGCCACGAAGTTATGGTTGGTATGGAAATGTAGTTGGGCCGAGCTCTTGCCATACAATTTTGATGTGTTATATTGAGTTAGAGGATTGTATAGAAATGTAGTTGAGCCGAGCCCATGCTATACAATTGGGGCTCGATGGGACCCCATGGGGTTATCGTGACTCGCGGTCACGGGGGAATGGAAATGATAAATTCTAAATGAATATGGGCCCACGGGTCGACTACTTGACTTCATATAAAGGAAGTATGATTTAAATAGCAAAAAGGGGTAACCGAGGGTTATGGTCTCTAATGTAATATCACCCTGAATTGAGGGTCTTAGAAATTTAAACATTGATTATACTTAGTACAGTTGCTATTGTACTTGTCAAATGTTTCCAAGTACTGACCTCCCCTTCACGGGGGAGGTCACCTCACAGTTTCAGGTAGAACTTGAAGGTTGCTGCCACCGCCCGTTGCTTCGGGAAGATCGAAGGGAGAAGACGTGGTTCGTGCTTCTTCCGTTTCTGTTTGAAAACAATTTAAAACAATGCTCATGGATAATATTTTCTGAATAATTACTTTGGGGGCTTGCATGCCTAATTATGCCAAGTGTGGCTTGAACACTTGTATCATTTGTTTCCGCTGCTTTAATAAATGTTTTACATTATGTTTGTTTATGGATGTACTATGTGTGAATGGTATTCAAGACGCCTTGTATAGTATGGATGAGTCGGACTGCGGTTGACTATTCATACTGTACGGCATGTTGTTGACGTGTCCGGGTAGGTCCGGGGCGTGACAATTTAATTGGTATCAGAGCCTTAGTCCGTAAACATCATAATAAAGCTTCAAAATTCTTTTTGAAAAATGAATTTGAAAACCATGAGCATAAGAAGTTTTGTACTTATAGAACTTTTGGTACTTGAGTTGCAATGTCTCTAATTGTTAAGATGGTACCCTTAACAATTGGTATGGCGGTGACTTGAGCCAAAGGATGTCTTTAAGTACCTATCCGTCAATTGACATGTGATACGAGTCTAATGACTCATTCTCACTTTCTTTCAGAAATGGAGCGTACCGGGAAAGTAACTAGAAGGAACCCGACTGGCCGAGCACCGGGAGGATCCATTCAAGGTAGTAGAGGGGCTTCTAGGGTGTCCAGGGGATGGGGCCGTGGAGGTCAATCTCAGACCGTGAGTGACGGTCATGTTGAGATAGTCAACGAGTCTTATGAGTCCGAGGAGGATTCAACTTACCAACCGGGAACTGAGCCGGTTGAGACCCCATATGATGGGGAATATGATGATGCTAGTGAGGGGAGCGACGATGATGACGCTCTAGAAAGGATGGAGGAACTACTTCGTCAATTTCAACAGGATCGCCAAAGGCGCCGGGCAAGGCGTGCTTTGGGAGGGGCTTCAAGAAGGGGAAGCCATGCGGATTCTAGGGGATATGTGGAGTCCCGAGTAGATCAAGGTGATGAGGTCCCAATAATAAGGATCTCGAAGTAGCTCAAGGAAGCGAGAGATTTGGGGTGTAAACCGTTCGATGGAACAGGAGATATCTCCGTTGCGGCGGAGTGGATCAAAAGGTTCAATGAGGCGGCTCTTGATATGCAACTGCCGCCAAACATGAAGATGAGAGTAGCAACGAGGTTGCTAGAAGGGATGGCGTCCACGTGGTGGGACGGAGTTAAGGGGAAGTATGGTGAGAATGTCACTTAGGAGAATTTCCGACAGGAATTCTTCAACCAATACTACTCCGACTTCGATGTGAACTTGAAGAGGAGGGAATACACCAACTTGACCCAAGGAGGCAAGTATACCGTGAGGCAACTTGAGCACAAGTT